ATGGATATGAGTGTGTTCAGTTCATGAGCAAGGGTAAAGTGGGTACAGACAGTGCACTGATGGATGGTGGCACAAGGCCATCCCCGAGCAGCACAGCCAGCCCAGGGCGGCAGTGCCACTGCTATGAAGGGCAGCAGTGCCGCCCCCATAGAAAAGGGAAGGCCACCCCTTTCTCTTCTGCTCATGTAAAGCCCAAGCAGAAGGTTGCAGTAAACGTGCAAGATTCTCAGAAACTGAAGAAATCAATCTGGGCCACTCCAAATAGATATGCCTACCAACCAAAGGCACCAAAACAAACTTTGAATTCTAACTTTGTTTTGCAGCACAATAGCAAGGGAGAAGTGATTGTCGGAGAATCGGCCGAGGCCTCGTGGTTGTCTCTTGGCTTCGATATTTACAAGGTCTAAGCAATTTTTTTGTTCTTACTTAGGGTACCCCTTTTTATGGTATTCGACATTACTCTTGGTGGTTCCCACCACCTAGACGGCTTGGTGCAGCAAGGATCGTTGAGCCAAGGTTGGTGATTGTTTCTAGCTTTGATCATGGTGATTGTGAGGGGTTCTTGACCTTTCCTCGGCGGAGAGCCAAAAGGTACTCTAGTGGATTGCTCGTGGCTTGTGTGATCCTCATCTTGTGTTGATTGTGCGGCACCCTATTGAGGGTTTAGCGTGTGATGCCAATTAGCGCGTGAACCTCTAAGTGAGTGAATCGCCACAACGAGGACTAGCTTATCGGCAAGCATGTGAACCTTGGTAAAAAAATCTTATGTCATCATTGTTTGGGGATTTCTTGATTGATTGGCTCCAGCATATTGTGATTGGCTCTATCCTCGTCACGGCAGTATAACTATCACTTCACCTCTCTTGTATTGCATTTTTAGTGTAGCTAGACTCTTTAGTGTAATTAGTTTTGAGAGCTAGCTTGTGTCGGGTCTAGTGGTTAGTGAGGCTCTTTAGTTAGCCTTTGAGAGCTCACTAACTTAGTGTAGTGACTTAGCAAATTATGTGCTTAGTGATCATAGTCACTAAAATTGTGGTAGGTGGCTTGCTCTTTTAGTAGGCTAGCGCAACACTAGCTTCGTCGTTTAATTGTCTAACATATTTGCTAAGTGTTGTTGTAGAAATTTTTAATAGGCTATTCACCCCCCCTAGCCATTAGGACCTTTCAAGAGGAGTGGACAGTGGAGGCCCGTGGGCACTTGGTGGGGTGGCGGTGTGAGATGGGCTGTCCGGTGGATGGATGGAAGTATGGAACCCTAGGATAAGTAAATTATATACCTCTTTTGCAATGGCCCCACATGTCAATGCGGGTTTGGCGGGTTTGTGAATGCGGGTATGATATTTTCTTACCCGTCTTTCTTTCTGTTGGGTACAAATCTGTACCTACGCCCGTGCCCGTTGGCACAAGTTGGCGCCTGTATCCGCGCCCACTGGGTCTAATGCCTGTGGGTACACAGGTTTTTAGTGTCTGTTGCCATCTTTAGCAAGAGCAACAAAGGATGATACTCCGATGACGCCAGAGCTCGTGGCTTGTTTACGAGAAACTAGCAAAACACGACTATTGACCTAGATGTGAAAAGTAGAATAATGTAAAAGAACATGACAATAGTAGATTGGTTTTACGTCGAGTGTATATTCTCAATCCGTCTCTTATATTTATAGGACGGTTGGTCTTTCTGATACATGGTTGGATCCGTGTCAAGTATATTCCCAAAATACTCAGGTTCTGAATCCACCTCGGTTCGGTCTTCTGTCAATCACAAGAAAACCATCTAACCAACCTAGCTAATGAGCGAACGATTGCTAGCTTGAAATCCAACTGTCAATCCCATCAACCCCACAACTTTCCTTTTTTGAAAAAAGAACAATTTCTGCAACTTTCCTTTTTCTGGAAAGTTACATAGTTATACTTATTACTTTTACGTATAATTTTTTGTGCAAAATTTATCACCATATTTTCTTAGAAAGTTGTAAAGTTATGCACATAACTTTTATATACAATATTTTGTAAACCAGGACTTATCAACACAGTTTCCTAGAAATTTATTCCCGCGTCTTTTTTTTGGAAAAGTTACAAAGTTATATATATAAACCGATGTGCATAACTTTTTTATGTGATAACTTATCATCATAACTTTTTATTATTTTTTTTGTAAAAAGACATTTACATATCTTCATTTTTGGAAAGTTATGAAGTTATATGCACAAATTATGCCCATAACTATATACGAATAACTTATCATCACAATTTGTCATAATAGTCTTTTTTACTTCTCTTTTTTGGAAAAATTATTTTCGTAACTTTTCATTTTAGAAAATTACCATAGCTTATGTGCATAACTTTTTACGTGATAAATTATCAACATAACTTCTCATCATAATAACTTTTACAAATTTGGGGTCACAGGATTCAATTATATCAGAAGAAGAGAAAAAGTGAAAAATAGAGGAAAAATGGTGAAAAAGGGAAAATATGGTGCATAGCATTATATTTTTCATTCATGTACAACTAGTATCATATACGATCATGTAAAATAGATAGGTTTATGTAAAAAAAATAAAAAGGCAGTAGAAAATAAAAAAAATAAAAGCAGAAAAATAAATATAGAAAGAGAGACCTACCTGCTTCACGACAGAACCGCGCTGGTGCATGGTGTGCACACGGCACGGCCGATGAAGTCCTGCTTCGGGTTCCTGGTTTCTGGGTCCACGCGCGAATTGGATCGAAGACGTACGGCGTCGCGGGATTGGACTCCGATCCGCACCTGACGTGGTGGCAACGAGCGTCGCTCACCAAATTGGATTCCGGCCAAACTCCCTTTGTAATAAATTTGCTCCAGCCGTAACTATACGTAGGTGAAGGCTTAAGGTTCTTTCTTTTGGCGTATACGTATGTATATTCCTTTCGAAACTAGGCATTCTTTTGCTTTCTTTATTCTCCGTTTAGTTTAATCACAATCTTGCCAACTACTCCGTGACTCACGTTATAGCTCCATTCAAAGCTCCAACAGCTAGTGTAAGTAGTAATCCGTTTTTTTTTATCCCGTCCCAGAAAGAGAGTCGGTCTACGGCTGAACGCTTGTCCCAGAAAAAGAGTCGTTTTAGACGGGTATAGGTCCTGCAACCTATGCCCTGTCACCTCCTATGCCTTGCTTCCTTCGTTGGCTTGCTCTCATCCCCTTCGTCCCACTTCTCGCCGCCTATCTCCGCTCAAGGAAAAAAAATTTAGAAGGGGTTGAACAAAAGAATAGAGGTTTTTTTATCTTCTCTTAACTTTAGCCTCTCCTACCTAATATATATATGCATAACATTTTAAGGGATGGCTTAGGGGGGGCTCTATGTGCCCAGGTTCGGTAGGAGGGGCTAGAGCCCCCCCCCAGCCCCACCGCTGGCTCCGTCGCTGTCCACTCTCCACCCCCACCACCGCCGCTCGTCCCCATTCCAACGGCGGCACCCAGCTGCCCATCTCCAACGCCGCCGGTGCCCCTGTTCCCTTCTCCTCCACCGGCGCCCCTCGTCCTCCTCTTCTTCTCCACCGACGAGGATAGGAGTAGCCCAGGCCAGAGATGTCGTCGTGCTGGGAAAGGCACGTGCGCTACCGAGGAGAAGCTCTCCCCCAAGCGTCCGGGAGTGGGAGTTGGCACCCTCCCTCCTCTTCTCCTCATTCGAGATCTAGCGCACTCCCGACTCTTCTCGTCCACCGGCGGCCCCCTCTCGCCTCCGAGCAGGTGTCGGCAGGGCGGGCTTGGCTGCCGGCGAGCTCGACAGGGCATCTAGGCATGATGGGGCGGCGCAGCTTGCAAGCCAGTGGGGGGAGGCGGCGCGCTCACCCGAGCGGTGGGGTTGTACAGCAGCTGGATCTGGATCTAGATGGGATTGGGAGGAGCGCATGATTGAGAGAGAAACATTGTTCATAAGGGCATTTGGGTCTTTTCTCATCGTTCTTAGTTGGCGTGCTGAATCATAAAACAACTCTTATTCCGGGGCGGAGGGAGTAACCGTAAGCCTCCTCTCCATACGTCATTGATGCAGACATGTAGGCGTGCAACACTCGGACTAGTAACATAGTAGGCCCCCAACATCTACTTATGGTCGATCCACCAAGTCTCTTCTGTGGCTTCCCCAGCATGCTGTTGTGTTTCCTTTGCTTTGCACACTGAACCTTGGAACTGTCAATGTCAAACAATAGTCGGAAATGAATGTGAGAATATATGTCCAGCGGGAGCAGCACACACTGAGCCAGTCAGCAGGCTAGCCAGATAGATTCGTTTCCAAAATCCACATCGATCTGTTCTGACTTGTGAGGCCTGCCTGCCAATGCCGTTGTCTCCAGGACAAGCTCACTTTCAGTTTACTAATTCACTGCTGCTGCGCTAGTCAGTGATACGCTTCAAGTTGTTTGTCCTGGTCCCGGTGTCCCCCCCTCCCGGCCTCCCCTCCCTCACGGAAGAATGAATCAATGAAAGCTGCCGCCTGAAGAATGAAACTGACAAAAGCATGCATACTAGAATAGAATGAAGCTGACGATGAGGCACTTTGTGGCTACACAACACATATGCTTCCTTCCCTCTCCTGAAAGAAAAGTAAAGCAGCAGCAGCCAGCAGGTAGCATCAGATGCACACGAGAAGAAGAAGATGGGGGTACGTGAGGCCAAAGGCTGGCACACATTCTCCCCATCCTCCACGATCTTTCTTCTTTCTGCGCGCTAGCTAGCTTTTCTTGCTCAATCCTGCAGCAGCACATTCCCTCCAGACGAATGATGCTAGCTCATCTCTCCCTGCAAGCTAGCCCACGTACGCACTCCAAGAATATAATCCATCCCCACCCCCGTGGCATGCATCTACTAGACTACGACTGCCGACTGCCATGTATATAAGCTAGCTAGCGCTTGGGATTAGCCTCAACAGGGATCAGGAGATCAGTAGAGATAGCTAGCTTCAGGTCAGGTGTTAGAGCCAGCCGTACGTTGCTGCTGGTGCTCCGTGGATCCTTCTCGGCCAATGCAAATGCCCTTCTGTTGGGACCGCCGGAGCCCGGCTCATGCGCCGGAGAACCACATCGCCATCAATGGCACCGTGGTCGTGTCCTGCCACTTGGGCCTGTCGTCGCCGGGGAAGACCACCACGCTTCGACTCTTCAGCAGCACGCAGATGGATCCCAGTACGTTGTTCTTGTTCACCACCCAGCCCAGTACTCTTGCTTGCTTGCTTGTCGTCTTGATCGAATTCCAATTCAATTAAATTGTTGATCCATCGATGACTGTCGTTGGTTCAAATTCAACTGCTTGGGCATGCAATCGCAATCTGCAGACACGGGGAAGGGGAAGCTGAGCGCGGAGGCGCCGCTCAAGGGCGGCAAGAAGACCAAGGCGAAGCAGGGCGCCGTGAAGACGAGCACCATGACGTACCAGGTGACCTTCTTCGTGGACGCCGAGTTCGGCACGCCGGGCGCCGTCGTTGTCAAGAACGGGATGAGGAACGACCAGTTCTTCCTCCGCCACGTGCAGCTGGACATGCCCGAGGCCGGCCGGAGCATCCACTTGGACTGCAACTCCTGGGTCTACCCCTACAAGAAGACCAACGCGGACCGCGTCTTCTTCATCAACACGGTGCGTGTCGTCAGGACCGAATCATGGACCTACTAGTACTTTTAAGCTTCCATGGCATGACAGATTGACAATGGCGAACCCAACAGAGCTACCTGCCTGACAAGACGCCCGAGGCCCTGCGTCTGCTGCGCGACGAGGAGCTGCGCAGCCTCCGTGGCAGCGGCCGCGGCGAGCGCAGGACTGGGAGCGCGTCTACGACTACGACTACTACAACGACCTGGGCAACCCGGACAAGGAGGACCATGCCCGCCCGGTGCTTGGCGGCATCACCTCCATGTACCCGTACCCACGCCGCTGCCGCACCGGCCGCCCTCTCTTCAAGACAGGCACATATATACAAGCTCCATTGATCTGATTTCATTTCTCCACGCATCTAAATTTGTACTGACAGTACTAGTCTTGAAACGACTGAAGACGGCGTGACGGAGACGCGCAAGCACATGATCAACCTCGACTTCTACATCCCGCCGGACGAGCGGTTCAGCCCGACCAAGCTGGCGGAGGTGCTCACGCTGGCGGTGCAGGCCGTGACGCACTTCGTGCTCCCGGAATCTAAGGCGCTGTTCCATGGCAATATCAACAGCTTCCGGTCGTTTGAGCAGCTCAAGGGCGATCTGTACAGAATGCCCCAGCAGCCGGTCGCCGTGGATGGGCAGGTGATGGACAAGCTCAAGACGTCGGTGCCGTCGCACAAGACCTACAAGCAGGTGTCCAAGATGGTCAAGGAGACGCCCGTCAACTTCCCCATCCCTCAAGTCATCGAGCGTAAGAGCTCTGCAGCTCTGCTCTGCCTCTGACAGAGACAAAATTCCTTGGATTAACTAGCTAGTTTGATGATGCATCATTCATCAGAAAAATTCCCGTATCTGATGCAGATGAACCAGAGGCTTGGCGTAGCGACGAGGAATTCGCGAGGGAGATGCTGGCTGGGCTCAACCCGGTGGTGATCAAGAGACTAGAGGTGTTCCCGCCGGTGAGCAGAGGAGGCAAGGAGAGCTCCATTACCGCCGCGCATATCGAGAGGCAGCTCGAAGGACGAACGGTCCAGAAGGTCAGTCGTCAAAAAATGTGTTCCAGAGAATTCTGTCAGTTGGATCGGAACTAGTAGTAGTGATCATTTGTATCTATTACTCCTATGCATGGTGATATTGTGCAGGCATTAGAAGAGAAGAGGCTGTATATTCTTGATCACCATGACTACCTGATGCCGTACCTGCGGCGCATCAACACGCAACAAGGGGTGTGCGTCTACGCGTCGCGCACGCTGCTCTTCCTCAAGGACGACGGCACCCTCAAGCCTCTCGTCATAGAGCTCAGCCTGCCCAGTGACGGCGCCGGCGACGGCGAGATCAGCAGGGTCTTCCTCCCTGCGAGCCAAGGCACCGATGGCCATCTGTGGTGGCTTGCTAAGGCTCATGTCTCCGTCAATGATTCAGGCTACCATCAGCTCATCAGCCACTGGTGAGTGAGTGAGTCAGCATGCATCAGTACCATGTCATCTGTTTCATGTGGTCAATGCAGTGCATGATTCGGACGTTCTTGATGCATGCATCCATATATGAGTATATGACCATGCTTGCATATCCATGGCGACACCACATGTACAGGCTGTTCACGCACGCGACGGTGGAGCCGTTCATCATCGCCACCAAGAGGCAGCTGAGCGCCATGCACCCCATCCACAAGCTGCTGGAGCCACATTTCAAGGACAACATGCAGATCAACACGCTGGCCAGGAGCATCCTGCTCAGCGCAGGAGGCATCCTGGAGAGGACCATGTTCCCGGGGAAGTACGCCATGGAGATGTCCTCGGCAATCTACTCCGAGTGGAGGTTCACCGACCAGTCCCTGCCCAACGAGCTCGTCAAGAGGGGGATGGCGTCCAAGGATCCCCGGACCACCGATCTGCACCTGCACGTGGAGGACTACCCGTACGCGGTGGACGGCATGGACGTGTGGCGCGCCATCGACGGCTGGGTGCGGAGCTACTGCGCCCACTTCTACCACTCCGATGCCGCGGTGGCCACCGACGCCGAACTGCAGGCGTGGTGGCACGACGTGCGCACCGTAGGCCACGGTGACCGCCAGCTCGACCCGGCGTGCTGGCTGGAGCTCGACACCGTGGCCAACCTCGCCGAGTCGCTGTCCACGCTCATCTGGATCGCCTCCGCGCTGCACGCCGCCGTCAACTTCGGCCAGTACGGCTACGCCGGGTTCATGCCCAACCGGCCCACCCGGTGCCGCCGGTTCGTGCCGCTGCCGGGGTCCCCGGAGATGGCGCAGCTGGAGGCCGACCCGGACAGGTTCTTCCTCGACACGGTGCCCGACCGCTTCACCACCACGCTCGGGCTCACGCTCATCGAGGTGCTCTCCAGCCACACCTCCGAGGAGCTCTACCTGGGCCAGCGCGCCACCGCGGCGTGGACGGACGACGGCGAGGTGCTTCAGATGCTCGACAGGTTCCGGGACGAGCTCCGCCGGGTGGAGAAGCGGGTCACGGAGAGGAATAGGGACTTGCGGCTCAAGAACCGGAAGGGACCCGCCAAGGTGCCGTACACGCTGCTGTTCCCGGACGTTGGCAACGTCGGCGGCAAGGAGAAGGGGATCACCGGCAAAGGGATACCCAACAGCGTCTCCATGTGACATGACATGACATTAAGCTCCATCATATCGGACTACACGTACATATTATTATATGCATGTATACGTGAGTTTCTCTTTCTTTTGGTGTCGGTGGTTTTATTGTTTTCATTTTGTTGGAGAGGATTTGATTAAGGATGTCGGTTTGGTTGTGAGCATATTCATCAGTGTCCTAACTATATGTATTAATTGCGATGATTGGTTTTGAAGTTAATCTATTGAATGGGTGTAATACTTTTTTTTAAAAAAACAAAAGATCTATTACCGTCTTTCATGAATAAGTGGAGGAGAATGACATGTTTGGTAGAGGTTCGGCTCCCGACAAACAATTCGAGATACAGCTTTCTTTGTTGAAACGGCTTTTCTGGCTGTAGCTTTACTAGTTGGAAAAATGTTTGCTAAGACCGCTTCTCCGAGTAGTTGCTAACAAAAAGATCAAATGTCTATAATACTCTTAGTTTTCCTTTATCTTATTTTTTCCTTCTCTCTCCTTTTCTTCCCCTGCGCGCCGAGCCGGACGGACACCTCTTCTCTTTCTTCTTTCTTCTTTCGTCTTTCCATGCCAATCTGTTGCCGGCATGGACCTACCCTCACCGGCTTGCGCCGCGCCACGCCACCGGCACACCCCTACCCTCCCTGGCTTGTGCCACGCCAGGACGCCACCATCTCTCCGGCCGACGTCGCGTCGTCATTGTCGTCTCGACTCCCGTCATCTTCCTGGCCAGCACCGCCGTGGCCCATTGGGGATGATTCAATACATACATGATTGCGATGATTGATTTGGAAGTTAATCTGTGTTGACCCCGTGTAGCACTTTTTTTAAGATCCTTTACCATCTTTCATTAATAAGTGCAAAAAGAAGTTGCTGCATGCAAGCCATGGATGCAAAGAATCATTTGGCCTAAAATACCATGTTTGCACCTTGAAAAGCTCATTGAAATTGGCTCAAACTTGTTGGGGATGATTCAATACAACTGGTAGCTACTTCGTGCTAACTGATCAACTTGTAGTGAGCTCCACATGAAAGCTAGACCCTGAAACTAAACTTTTACATTCACACTTTAAAATTTTATTTATCAAATTTGACTAAAAAGTGTTTAATATGTTTCAACGTGACGCGAAGCTACTTTGTGGCAATTTAAATGGAGCAAAGCTGGCCCAGCATGACCCAAGCCTAGCTTGTCGGCGGTGGCCTTGGCCCGTCAACCTTACTAGACAGTAGACAGTCAGCCAAATGTTTGTCGTCGCAAGACCACTCGTGAAACATGCACGCGTCTCCGTTTTAACCATTAATAATTTGAAGAAAAAAAAAAGTACAAAGGAAAAGCAGATGCAAGTTGCAACCATGAATGACGCAGACATACGGAGTACGGAGTACCATCAAACAACGACGTACAGTCAGGGTTTCCTTTATCGGCCGAAATCTCCTGATATTTCTGATATATCATTTTATCCGTAGGTACCGATAAGAAGATATCTATCTTTTTCGTACAAATTTTGTTTAAATTTATTTAAATTTACTTAAATTCAAATCAAATTTTATTTGAATTTGGTCCATATTTTCGATATATCCTGTTTATCCTCTTTATCTGTGACCTCCGATAAATTTTAATTTCCAAAAATGAAAACCTTGCGTACAGTACATACTTAAAGCATCTTCTTTGCCAGCTGGACCGGCCTGTTGCTCTCCGATCCTCAATACGCACTAGGTGTGGGTCTAGTCTAGTAATTACATTAGTGGATGTTCACGTCTTATAGCAAAAAAATACTTCAAAGGGATTTGACTTTGTTTGTGTCACGGAGCCCCACCCAGGTGTTTTTCTTTTGAGCAAACCCCACCCAGGTGATGCATGCACAGCCACGGAGGAGTACCAGGCCGAAGCCCAAGAACGTGCGCGTGTGTGGCCTGGAGTGGGCTTGTAAAATGTGTGAGTCTGGCCCAGTAGACAAGTGAGATATAGAGAGATGAGAGTGGACGACTGATATCGAACAAGACAATTGTAAACAAATCCTCTTCTCCTCCGAGCCGAGCAAGCAACCGGCATGCTACTTACCCAGGTTCCCCTTCTACTTCCTCTGAGTTCGGCCGCCGATCGCCGGCAGCTGACAGTTTGCACCAAATCAAATTAGCGAACTGCTAATAACTGTCTAAATCTAATGTAAATGAATTGGCGATTAAGTTATGTTTTAGGATTTGGCAGATGGTTGCCCAGTTTGGTCAGTGAGCAATTGGAACAATAGGCAAATAAAGATTCGTGTGATGAACTTGGATTTGAGGAATTAAAAGAGCTCGCCGGAGCTAACCGGCCGGAGATGGGTTTCAAGTGTAGGCACGGTGTGAGCACTGAGAGGAATTAAAAGAGCTCACCGGCCGGAGATGGATTTGAGGAATTAAAAGACCTTGATAAATGCATGCTATGCAACACCACAAGAGAGTTAAAATGTGAGCAGAGGCAGTTTTCAAGACGGTACGCTTAGCACCTAGACGTCCGGCGGCGTCAGGACGCGTCTGCACGCACCTCAAAAAGGCACCCGCTTACAGAAACAGTGTCAGCATGCATGTGCGCGTCCCAATCCATGGCCTATCTCCTCCACACCCCATCCCATGCTGCGTTGCCATCTCAGGCGCGCTCCCTCTACAAGCCCCCGCCGCGCTCCCTCGGTGACCACCTCCGGTGCGATTGATGCAGCGCTTTGTTTTTGCGCAACAGACATCGGGGGCCGCGCCATCCGAGCGATAAGAGGGAAGGGCACACGGCGCCTTAGATTCGGAAGGACCCGACCGCGGCATCGAATGGATGTCATGCCGGCTTTGGTAGAGATGATGCAGCAGAAGGTGGGGAGGAGAGATGCAACATCCGATCTACTTTTGAAATATCCAAATATAACAATCGCAACATACCTCTGAAGGCAGTTGAAACACTTTCTTCTGAAACACTTGAAAAACCACATGAAACACACTTGAAAAACCATTGCAACCATACGCAACATCTAAATAAAACACATGCAACGTATGTGTGAAACATATGCAATATCCAGATAAACACACTTACAACATGCGTCCGGAATACACAGATGAAACATACCTCTGAAACACTCGAAACATACGCTTGCAACATGCCTCTGAAACAATTGCAACATATGCAACATCCCCCGATCTACTTTTGCAACATCCATATGAAACAAATGCAACATACATCTGAAATGCCTAAAACACTTGCAACATAGATATGCAACATAGAAGAGAGGCGTTACACGGGCGGCCTCGACTCGATGGTTGCTGCCGCGATGGGGTTGGTCGGCGCGGCGAGGCTCCTCGTGGAACTCGAGCCGGGAGAAGGCTCGACTTGCGGTCGCGGCCACCACTTGCATGTCGTCGCGATACCGGGAAGGTACCGGGTCAACGGCGCATGCAGCCGCCAGGAGGTGGCCATGGCGGGTGTCGGGACTACGCGATGCGCCTCGCGGAACTCGAGCCTAGGTGCGTGAAGCCCGAGTAAGGCGAGTTGGGTAGCCGGATGTTTTGAGAGCCCCACCACTTAGTAACGCCGATAATTGCCGACCGAATGGACCGAGGGATCGAAAAGACCGAGACCGCCGGTCATGAGTTCGAGGAGGACGCCGCCAACTCGCCGGCGGTGGAGGTGGCCATGTGCGATTAACGGTCCGAATCGGCCGTTAGTTATGTAGACTTCGCGAATGCATTATGTGTGCGTGAAGAGAGGAGAAGCGTGTGCTAGAACTAGGCGCGTGGTTTGTGCGATATATTGTGTTGTTATTTTTTGCCTTCAAATAACAAGCATAAGACGATTAGTTGGGTAGCGGATGTTTTGAGAGGCTGCAAGCCCGTTGATGTTAGGCCGATCTCCTCGCAGGCCCAGAACGGCACGTCCAGCGCGGACAAGCCCGGACGAGCGCCCTCACAGAAACATTATTATCGAGAAAAAGAGAGAGAGGCATACACTACACGTGGACATACGTGTCAACATACTCGATGCTGCGAACAAATGGGGGGCAGAATATTCTGACTGCGCTGAGGCCCCCACAAAGAAGCGAGTCAAAGCAAACCACGGGGGTTGGCGGGATCCGATTCCCCTTCCCTTCCCCAGCCGCCGCCGATGCCGCCGCCGCCGCCGCCGTGCCATGGCCGCGAACGCGATGGATGGCGCTGGCCGCCAGCGCGCTGATCCAGTGCTGCGCGGGGAGCTCCTACTGCTTCGGCGTCTACTCCCCGGCGCTCAAGGCCTCGCAGCGCTACGACCAGTCCGCGCTCGACGCCGTCGCCTTCTTCAAGGACGTCGGCGCCAACGCCGGGGTCCTCTCGGGCCTCCTCGCCGCGTGGGCGCCGTGGGGGCGGAGGCGCCCCTGGCTCGTCCTCCTCGCTGGCGCCCTGCTCTGCGTCGCCGGGTACCTCCCCATGTGGCTCGCCGTCGCGGGGGTCGCGCCCGCGCCGCTCCCGCTCATGTGCCTCTACATGCTGCTCGCCGCGCAGGCGCAGACTTTCTTCAACACCGCAGATGTTGTCTCCGCCGTCGAGAACTTCCCCGACCGACGAGGAACCGTCATCGGCATCATGAAGGCAGGTCACAATTGCTCTGCTCTGCTTTGTCTTCCCATTATTTCGGAATGCGATCGAGAATATTTGATCTGAGAAATTGTCATCACTGTGCTACCTAGTACTTATTTTTTTAGCTTTAATATAGACCGACGATCTTATAGACTGTACTACGTTGCTACTTCTGTACTCCACTTCCCTTTCAACAACAGACATTCAGACAACAGTAGAGTTGTTATTGGGTTGGAGCCCTCAACTGACACTTGAAAGTTGAAACCAGCCACAACACATTACCTCTCACGTTTTTCTGGTGACCTTACCTGTCATTCAGTACTTTGCTTATGAGATCTGGTGCCTTATTGGATAACATGAATTTTGATCATGTCCTGCTCCTGGATGCCGCTGTCCCACCAAACTGTTTGGATCAGATTCTATCAATTATCTTCGTTTTGCATCAAACTTCAGTCTAGTATGATGAAAGCTATTTGTTTGTCAGTTTTGGTTTGAACCCCAACCATGTTAATTCACTCCCAGCCAATTGACAGGAATTTTTTTTTTCCGAACCGAGGGTTCCTCCATTTCCATTAACAAACAGAAATACAGATGTTTGAGCAAGCAGTTAAAAAGAAAACAGATACGGGTGACCTATATCTGTATGCCACCTGACAGTCAAGTGACAGGAAATTCCTATTGATCCCACATTCCCACCTGCAGTTCCATACTAATGCTGGCAGTTTTGACCCCCAACTGACATCAATTCATTTTTGTTTACTTTTGCAACAGGGTTTTCTAGGCCTAAGTGGGGCAATACTTGTCCAAATTTACCGCACTCTCCACATTGATCCCAGCTCTTTCATACTGATGCTGGCAGTTTTGCCCACAGCCGTCACATTGGTGCTTATGTATTTTGTGGATGTCCACAACCCCAATGAACGGTACAACAAGAAATTCCTAGACGCTTTCTCCCTCATTGCTGTTACTGTTGCCGGGTACTTGATGATTCTCATAATCTGTGGTCAAATTTTCTCGATAAGCTCAGCTGTGCAGAGCATTTGCTTCGTGGTACTCTTGATACTAGTGATGTCTCCGATAGCCGTCGCTTTAAAGTTCCAGACACCACATGAGGAATCAATCTCAGAACAAAGGACTGGACTGCTCCGTGAAGAGGTCGCAGAGGATTCTGAAAATGCTACCTCCAGTACCGCACTTGGGGGATCTGACCAAGACCTGTCTGCTGGCAAAGAGAACCTGAATGTATTACAGGCCATGTGCAAACTCAACTTCTGGTTGCTCTTCCTAGCAATGGCTTGCGGAATGGGATCAGGTCTGGCCACGGTGAACAATATCAGCCAGATCGGCGGATCACTTGGCTACACGACCAAGGAGACCAGCACACTTGTGTCACTCTGGAGCATATGGAACTTTTCAGGGCGGTTCGGTGCAGGCTTCATATCTGACCATTTCCTTCGCCAGCGAGGAATTGGGAGGCCATTCTTTATAGGTGTTACGCTGCTGATCATGAGCGCCGGTCATGCCATCATCTCCTCCGGTCTCCCTGCATCACTCTACATTGGGTCGGTGCTGATCGGCATGTGCTATGGGTGTCAGTGGGCCCTGATGCCGAGCATAACATCTGAGATCTTTGGGCTGAACCATTTTGGCACAATATTCAACATGGTGGCTGTTGCGAGCCCTGTTGGGTCTTACATCCTCTCGGTGCGCATTGTGGGCTACATATATGACATCGAATCTCCACCAGATGAGCAGTCCTGTGTAGGTAAGCAATGCTTTGCGCTCTCTTTTCATGATCATGGCGGTGTCTGTATGTTTGGGTCTGCTGCTGCGTTTGTGTTGTTTATCAGAACAAGGAAGTTCTATAGGCGTGTCATATATACGCGAGGTTGCAGTCTTTTCTAGACTAGTGATAAGTCTTCATGAAAGATGATGGTATAACTTGCAATAATGCTTGTACATGTATATTATGTGAGTATTTGTATAAGCCTGAATATAACTTTTGGAGATTATTACATAGATGGAACATGATCTTCCACTCGTGGCCCGAACAAATATATACCTTCTACCATCGCTCTACGACTAGGATTGATGTGTGGCTCCTATACTTCTTCTGTGAATTTACGATTGAAAAGGGAAACCATATATACTGTCTTAGCCTATATGTACATCTTGGATGGATTTATAGCATGTACAAATGTGAGAAGAAGATGAAGTGTCACAGTTGTTTCCTGTTTCCACAAATATCAATGCCTGTTTAACCCCCTTATCCTCAGTAACTATAGATGGATGTTTTTCTCACTTTACTTTCGAGAATGTGCAATGCACGTTTTTTTTATAAGAATGTGGAAGAAACAAGGATTACACGGCACTGCCTGAAACAAGGATTACACGGCACTGCCTAAAAGTAGAGGACGAGAGCAGGGGTTACATGAAAGAAATTTACAGAGCAACTTGATAACCTATAGCACAACCGACAGCAGGCCTTACTGTGTTATTGAACAATGAGGATTGGCCACAAAACACGGAAAAAGGCTACTGGATTGCTTGATTTGGAGAGAGTGACACATTACATGTGCTTCTCTGAACATGAATGAACCACAACCACTCAGACTCCTAGTGCAGTAGTGCATATAGGACACTGCATTATTCAGCTATCTTTCTCCATCACTTCACCAGTAAGCGAGCTCATTCTGTACTTGTCACTTGTCGCCTTCCTTGATTTCTCCGTTGCTCATCTTGCTGTCCTTCCCTTTGTCTTCTCCTCTGTTTTCTGTTGCCTCCGCCGCTGCCTTGTCTTTCTCTTTGGCCTCCTTTGCCTCCGCTTCTGCCTTCTCCTTCGCCTTGGCCGCCTCAGCCAGCGCCTTAGCGGCCGCCTCCTCTTTGGCTTGCTTCAGAGCCTCCACAAGACCCTCGAAGCATGCGTTGGCGTCCCTTTTCTTCTTCTTGGACATGGGCATCAGGTTCTCGGCCACATCTGCCGGCGACATGTCTGTCTCCTCGAGCAGCTGCGCTATCTGGCCGAACAGCTCGTGCTCCTTGACGTCGAGGTAGTTCTTGGCGAGCACCTTGAAGGCCCGGAAGCGGCAGTAGGACATCTCGATGTGCCTATCCATCCTGCCTCGCCGGATCAGCGCCGGGTCCAGTTTGTCCTTATGGTTGGTTGTGAAGATGATGATGCGCTCGCCGCCGCACGCCGACCACAGGCCATCGATGAAGTTGAGCAGCCCTGAAAGCGTCACCTTCGTGCCGTCGTCCTTGTCGGGATCCGTCGGCAGCTTGGGCTTGTCGTCACTGTCTGCATCGGCCTTCTTCTCCGCCTTCTTGTCCTTGCGCATGCCAGTGAGGTCGACGGAGCAGTCGATGTCCTCGATGACGATGATGGACTTGCCGGTTGTCTCGATGAAGAGCTTCCGCAGCTCAGTGTTGTTCTTGACCGCCGTGAGCTCGAGGTCGTAGACGTCGTAGTCGAGGAAGTTGGCCATGGCGGCGATCATGGTGGACTTGCCGGTGCCTGGGGCCCATAGAGCAGGTACCCTCGCTTCCACGGCTTGCCGACCTTGGTGTAGTAGTCCTTAGCCTCCCGGAACGCCTGGAGCTCGTCAAGGATCTCCTCCTTGTCGTCGGGGTCCATGGCGAGCGTGTCGAACGTGGCCGGGTGCTCGAACGGGACGTGGCTCCAGACGTTCTTGCCACGGTAAGAGTTCCAGCTGCCGCTGGGGTTGTTGGTGAAGAGGCGGCGCTGGCGGTTGCGGACGGTGACGGCGCGGCCTTCCTCGAGGACGTACGGCAGGTACCTGTCGACGACGAGGTCGCGGTGGCGCCGGTGGAAGACGACCCGGTAGAAGCGGCGCACTTCCTCGCCGGGGTAGAAGCTGATGACTTGGGACCCGGCGAACTGCTTGCAGGCGTACCACCAGATGGTGGCCCCGGCGAAGGCGTCGGTGACCTCGTCGTTGTCGTCGACGGAGACCTGGAGGTTCTTGCTGTTCTTGCCGAGCTCGGCCCTGAGCTTGCGCGCGCGGCGTGCGCAGGCGTCGGATAGGTAGGCCTCGACAGCAAGGTAGAAGTCGCTGCGGTGGAAGCCCTCGGCGCCGTACTCGTTGATGGTGATCTCCAGGTAGGGGCTGAAGAAAGAGACGAGCTTGTTTCCCCATGTGCTGAGGCGGTAGCGGAAGGCGACGGGGATGTGGTTCTGCACCACGGACCAGAGGAAGAAGAAGCTTGCCAGCGCCGATCCCAGGCCTGTCCACTTGTCCATCATTGCCATGGCTGCTGACCCCGACTGCTCCTTGTTACTCGTACACGAGTATTAGCTAGTGGTGATTCCGTGACTAGTGAGTTCAGTGAATAATGTGGCTCCCCGCTGGCCTGGTTAGTGGTTACCGTCGTCTCGTCGGAAGGAAGGAGCAGGTGAGGCGGAGCTGTCGCCGTTGTCCGGTGAATAATGTGGATCCACACGTACAAGTTTTTTTTTCTTTGAAAAAAAGATGATGTGTGGGGTCCATCCAATGGCAGGCAAATTCAAGCAAAGCTAGCAAAGGAAGAATTTGCTTTGGAAACAGAGACCGCTCAAATGCGTCATCTATATGGACCTTATTACCATTAGTCGACTATCCTTCCTTTATTATAAGAAAAAGACTTAATTAGAGTACGGAACTTGGTCTAATTGGACGGATGCATGCGTGCAATGCAAGCTTATATCATATATCCATTGACCATTGTTAATGACATCTCTTGTCACCCTACTGTAAAATGCCGTTAATCAAAAGGACAACAACTGATAGTAGCATACAAAAAAGGAATTAAGATAAGAGACAAAGAAAGAAAGAAAAAGAAAATATGAGAAACAAGGAAGATTACAACAGACTTTGGATCCGAAAATCAAATTGAGGGAGGCTCTTCTTCTTGGCTATATGCAAGAGCAAGGAAAAGCTCCTTAAAGAAGTTTGACTTGCAAGCCAAAAGGTTCTAGCTGATTCGATTGAAGATCTGGTTATTCATAGCGGTCCAAATTGTCCACCTCATCAATATAGCTGCATTTGCTCCTTCGCAAGATGTTTCTGGTGCTAAGCCTGTATTTGAGAAGAAGGTAGAAAAAAGACCTTGTGTTTTGGTTGGCAGAAGGAATTCCAAAACCATTTAAAGGAAATATTTACTTGACCATGTCCAATCAGGGACTTATAATTAAGCTTTAGCAGAGGAGAAATAATTAGAGTTCCAGGTGTAAGTCGAAATGTCTGGGCCTTCATCTAAATGGAGATTTTCACACTTCAAGGAGAGCAACGAAAACTGAGCAAAATCCGATTTAGAGATAGGCAAGTGGAAGAGTTGCAACGCAGAATTTCTAGAGACAACCATCTTCACTGAAATAAACTTCTTTGCAAAGGAATGAAGCTCAAGTAACTCTAATCTTAAGACCTGCGAATGACAAAGATCATCCCCTAGAAGACACCTTTTTCTATCCACAATTTGGACAACAGTAAACCCCTTAAAGATGTCCAAAATTTTTAGAATATCCCTCAACCAAAAGAGCCATTTTTCACATGATTTAGTAACCTTCCATTTGGGTAAAGTTTTTTCCCAAATAATGCTTACCCTATTGAAGAATTTATGTAAAATTTTCATCATTAGGGCTTCATTATGAGATTTTAGGTCAATCACCCCAAACCACCTTTCCTCCTTTGGCATACACACCATTTCCATGGCTGCCTTAGGAGGCTTTTCCGTTTTAGTCAGTTTCTCTCCAGAGATAGTGCTTTCTAAACTTGCCAATATGTTTGATGACTATAGCTTTTAGAATGAAAGTAGACATGAATAAAGTTGGGAGTGAGGAGAACACAACATTTACCAATTCTAGTCTACCGGCTTTGAAATGGAATGTTGAAGTACTGATTAGCCTTCTTTCACATTTACATATCAATGTTAAAAACTCCTCAACTTCTGGTTTGGAAAGTCCCAAAAGGTAAACCTAGGTAAGTGAAATGAAGAGATGCCTTAAAGCATCAAAACTTTTCTTTAGAGATGTTCTTCATAGATTTACTATAATTGACTCTGAGACTATGGTTGCTCAACTAAAGCTATGAAGTAAGGATTTTAGGAAAAACAACTGCCTTGCACATCCTTTCAAAATAATGAGGGTATCATCTACATATCTACATATTGCACAATTGGGATGTCTGAACTGTATTGCAAAAGAATTGGCGCATTCAGAGGTCAATATCTTTAAATTTATTGACCAGGGGATTGAAGAAAATTATTCTGACCCAAGATGCGGAGCCATGCACGCCATCGAAGAGGAGGCCGCCACACATGGGCTGGGGCCGTATCCAAGGCACTCCACCAGGCCAAGGAAGCCGAGCACGCGCACCAGTAGTCGAGTGGGCGGCAGTGAAACGGCCGGTCTCTGGGAAATCTGATAAATGTAATAGGTTAGAGGAGAGAGAGGGTAACCAGGAAAAGCTTGTATCAATTACCCTGCCTCCGGAGTCTTCCTCTGAACCGCCCCCTGGCTTGCTCTCCTTCCTTCCCTTCCAATCCAACTGTTACTCGTCGGAATCTATTAAACTTGTCTGGGTCGTGACAAATTGGTACTCAGAGCCCTCGATTCTTGGCCGATTTTTGATTTCCTTCACCTTGATCTGGGATCGTAACCCCCGACGGCTGGTTGATCGTCCTCAGTGCTACGGCAATGAGTGATGAACCCGTAGGTCCATGCCGAGGCTGATCTGATCGGTGTAGGAGTCAATCATCGGAAATCGATTCACCCTGGAGCCTCACCAAATAGACCACGATCATTTCACCCGCTTCCGCAAGCAGCTCGGAACCATGGATCTCAACACCAAACTCATTCTCGATGAGCTCAAGTCTGTGCAATCCAACCTCACTAATCGGATCGATGTGGTCAAGCACTCCATCGGCGCCCGCGTCGGTTCCCTGGAGGATGCCGCCAAGGTGCTTGACGCTTGGAAACCGACGATGGACGCCTCCGTGGCGGAACTGTGCGTGGAGATTGAGGTGTTCAGGAAGACTGAGGAGAAGGTGGAGTCGATGCGGGAGGAGATGACTGCGCTCCGCAAGTCTGTGAGCCGCTCCGTCCTCGACGCCGCACAGGCAGCGCCGATCGGCGTGCTACAGCGCCTCAAGGAGTCCCCGGCGTGGATTCCCGCTGGCTGGACTCACTTCCGTCCGTTAGGGCCCCACGAGGAATCAAGCCACCGGGGATTTGAGTCTTACGCTCGATCCCCGATCAAGGGTACGTTCATCCCGCCTGACCCCGATTGCAAGCCCAAGTTGTATCGATCCTTCTCAAGTTCGGCTCTCGTCGCGGGCACTCAGGGTGGTTCGGGAGGGGTGCATGGGTCTTAGGATCATTGTGGTTATGAGGATGGGGATGGAGGTACTCATCTACCTAAAATCAATTTTCCTCCATTTTATGGTTCCAACCCAAAATTGTGGCTAGGGCGGTGCTTAGATTATTTTGAGATGTACTTCGTTCCGCGCCGCCGCTGGGTCAAGGTAGCCACCATGCACTTGTCTGGCGCCGCGGCGTGTTGGTTGCAATCAGTTGAGGAGCAGGTTCGTTCGGGGGGTTGGGAACAATTTCAGGAACTGGTCATGAACCGCTTTGGTAAAGACCAGCATGAGCTGCTGGTTCGTCAGCTCTTTCACATTCACCAGTTAGCCTCAGTTCAGGAATATATTGACAAATTCACTGGGTTGGTAGATCAGTTAATTGCTTATGGGCGCAATACCGATCCTATTTACTATGCTATGCGTTTTGTTGATGGATTGCGGTCCGACATTCGTGCTGCTATTCATATGCAACGTCCACAGAATTTGGATACTGCCTGTGTCCTTGCTATGTTGCAGGAGTTGGTGGATCCTGTTTCATAAGAAGGAGCTTCGGCGACCTGAACCCTTCACCTTCGCCAAGGCTCCTGTCTGCGGACCACCACCGCCGCTGCTCCATCAACCTCCGCGTCTGGACCGTCCAGATAAGCCGGTGCCACCACATCAAGTCCCTGACCGCCGAGCTCGTTGTATGGATGACAAGCTCTCCACGTTGCGTGATTATCGGCGCGCTCGTGGCCTCTGTTTCCGGTGTGGAGAGAAGTGGTCACGTGATCATCGTTGCCCGGAAGCCATTCAATTGCATGCGTTGCAAGAGCTGTGGGAGGTTTGTTTTTCTGGGGACTGTCAAGAGGAAGATTATGATGCTTGTGTGGAAGCTGGCACTGATGAAGCTCAGTTGTGTATGGCTATCTCCATGGCTTCTTCTGGCGGTCCACCCTCGGTAACCTCTATTCAGTTCATGGGGCACATTCAGGGTCACCCTGTTCGCATTCTCATTGATTCCGGCAGCAGTCACACATTTGTCAGCATTGCACTGGCTACTCAGCTGCACGGTCAGTCGGTTCTCTCCCCTCCACTTAGGGTCATGGTGGCAGATGGTTCGCAGTTGTTCTGTTCCTCTCAATTCCAGAACCTTGTTTGGACTGTTCAGACTCATGAGTTTGTCTCTCAAGCTAAGGTGTTACCACTGTCTTCTTATGAGCTCATTGTGGGCATGGATTGGCTGGCTTCTTATAGTCCAATGCACATTGATTGGCAACACAAGTGGCTGTTGATCACACAGGGACAAAACCAGTGCTTCTTGCAGGGCTCTCTCTCAGAATTGCCTCCAGGGTCAGTGGTGCAGGTATCAGCAGTTGTCTCGGATGATTTACTGGTTGGTCAAGAAGTAGTTCCACCAGAGGTTTCGGCACTCTTAGCTGAGTTTCAGTCGGTGTTTGCTCCTCCTTCGGGTTATCCTCCAGCCCGTGATTGTGATCATACCATTCCATTGCTGCCAGGGGCCAGTCCGTTCTCAGTGCGTCCATATCGCTACCCTCCAGCTGTCAAATCGAGCGCCAAATTTCGGATATGTTACAGTCAGGCACCATTCAACACAGTCACAGTCCCTTTTCTTCCTTAGTGTTGCTAGTCAAGAAAAAGGACGGTACCTTCCGCTTTTGTGTGGATTTCAGGCAGCTTAATGCTCTTACTGTCAAAGCAAGTACCCGGTGCCTGTTATCGAGGAGTTACTGGATGAGTTGACCCATGCCTCTTGGTTTTCCTGTTTGGACCTCACTGCTGGGTATCACCAGATACGTTTGAAAACAGGAGAGGGATTTAAGACTGCCTTTCAGACTCATTCTGGCCATTATGAGTTTCGGGTAATGGCCTTCGGCCTCACTGGAGCTCCAGCTACATTCCTTAAAGCTATGAATTCCACTCTCAGGTCCCTCTTGCGCAAGTGTGTGTTAGTATTCTTTGATGACATCCTCATTTTCAGCCGTACTTACGAGGAACACTTGGAGCACCTTCGTCAGGTGTTGCAGTTACTGCAAAGGGATCAGTGGCAGGTCAAGATGTCTAAATGCCGCTTTGCTCAGCGCCAGTTATATGCTACCTTGGTCATCTCATTTCGGCTGAAGGTGTCTCCACAGACCCTGAGAAGGTTCAGGCAGTGGTCCAATGGCCGTCTCCCAAAACAGCCAAGGACCTGCGCAGTTTTTTGGGTCTCGCAGGATATTACCGGCGTTTTGTCCGGCATTTTGGTAGTATTTCGCGTCCCTTGACGGAGCTGTTGCGCAAGGGCGCTCTGTTTGTCTGGACCGACTTGCAGGAGCAGGCGTTTGTAGCTCTCAAACAGGCGCTTACATCTGCTCCTGTGCTGGCCCTTCCTGATTTCAGTCAACCCTTTTTAGTTGAAACAGATGCAAGTGGTACTGGTATTGGGGCAGTGTTGATGCAGAATGGGCATCCCTTAGCCTATCTGAGCAGAGCTTTGGGTCCTCGTTCACGGGGTTTGTCCACGTACGAAAAGGAGTATATGGCAATTCTGATGGCTGTGGAGCAGTGGCGCAGTTACCTTTAGCATGCGGAGTTCTAGATAGTGACGGATCACTGCAGTCTTGTGCAGCTCACCGAGCAACGCTTGCACACTCCTTGGCAACAGAATGTGTTCGCTAAATTGGTTGGTCTGCAGTACAAGATTGTGTATCGCAAGGGTGCTGACAATGGTGTGGCCGACGCCTTGTCTCGCATTCCCTCATCTCAGCTGGCTGCAGTTTCTGTCTGTACACCGCAGTGGCTTGAGGAAGTGGTCTCCTCCTATGCTCAGGATGTACGTGCTCAAGAGCTCCTTACTAAACTCTCCATTACACCTGATGCAGTACCTGGTTTCACATTGAGAGATGGCCTGCATCGTTATAACCAGCGCGTTTGGGTGGGTCACAACAAAGATCTGCATGTTAAACTGATTGCAGCAGTGCATTCCACAGCTATCGGGGAACATTCCGGAGTTGCTGTTACTTATCGTCGTCTCAGCAAATCTTTGCTTGGCAAGGGATGAAGTCCGCTGTCAAGGCTTTTGTGGCTGCTTGCACTGTCTGTCAACAAGCCAATCCTGATCGAGCTAAGCTTCCTGGTCTATTGCAACCTCTTCCGGTTCCTGACGGAGCTTGGTCAGTCATCTCGATGGATTTCATTGAAGGGCTTCCGTCTTCAGGTGGCTTCAACTGCATTTTGGTTGTGGTAGATTTGTTCTCCAAGTATGCTCATTTTCTGGCCCTCAAGCATCCATTCACGGCTGCTTCTGTTGCTCAGCTCTTCCTTTCACAAGTCTATAAACTGCATGGTCTTCCTAAAGCTATCGTTTCAGATCGGGATAAGATCTTTACTAGCAACTTTTGGCGCGAGTTATTCAAACTGGTTGGGGTGGAGTTGCGTATGAGTACGGCGTACCACCCGCAGTCCGATGGTCAGACGGAGCGGGTGAATCAATGTGTGGAAACATTTCTGCGCTATTTTTCACATGCCTGTCCTCGCACTTGGCGACAGTGGCTGGACCAAGCAGAGTTTTGGTACAATACCAATTGGCATTCGGCTCTCAGGCGCTCCCCATTAGAAGTTCTGTATGGGTATGTTCCCCGTCATTTTGGCCTTCCTGACAGTCCAGATGTTCCAGCGACAGAGGTGGCCACCTGGGTTTCCGACAGAGCTCTTATGACTGATATCATTCGTCAGCATCTCAACCGTGCCAAGCAACGCATGAAGAACTATGCCGATCAACATCGCTCTGAGCGTCATTTTGAGGTAAATGATTGGGTGTTTGTGAAACTTCAACCATACATTCAATCTTCCTTGAGTCAGCGTGCAAATCAGAAGCTGTCTTTCAAATTTTTTGGACCATACCGTGTGGCTGCTCATGTGGGTACCATGGCCTATCAGTTGGAGCTGCCCGCTTCTTCCTCTATGCATCCAGTTTTTCATGTGTCCCAGTTGAAAAAGTTAGTCGGTGCTTCTCATACTGTCACACCTCATCCCCCTTCAGCGGATTTTATTTAGAGTATCCCTGAACGGATTTTGCAAGTCCGGTCTGTGTTCAAAGGTAACCGTTCACTCTCTGAAGGGCTGATCAAGTGGTGTCATTTGCCACCTTCTCTAGCCACATGGGAGGACTTGGAGCATCTCTGACAGCAGTTTCCTCGCGCCACCGTCTAGAGTCGGCTTGGCGCGCAAGGAGGAGTGGATGTTACGACCCAAGATGCTGAGCCATGCCTGCCATCAGAAGAGGAGGCCGCCACACATGGGCCTGGGCCGTATCCAAGGCGCTCCACCAGGCCAAGGAAGCCGAGCACGCGCACCAGCGGAGTCGAGTGGACGACAGCGTGAAGCGGCCGGTCTATGGGAAATCTGATAAATGTAATAGGTTAGAGGAGAGAGAGGGTAACCAGGAAAAGCTTGTATCAATTACCCTGCCTCCGGAGTCTTCCTCTGAACCGCCCCCTTGCTTGCTCTCCTTCCTTCCCTTCCAATCCAACTGTTACTCGTCGGAATCTATTAAACTTGTCTCGGTCGTGACAAAAATCTGGTGCAAGAACACACAACAAACGGTGGCGGGTATGTATACATAATACATGTACACTACCTATTAATAATAGTTTATTATTATCATTGCTATGATGCAACGGTGTTATATAGGCATACACAAATTTATTTAATTGGCATATGTGGTATTATTAGATTGGAGCATATGCTATATTATTCACATATATATACGTATGAGAATTACAATCGTGTGACTTACTTTAAGTATCCTATATTGTGAACTTTTTATGATGTCTCCTGTTAGAATCACGAACACGTGCTTGTCTCCCCTACTAGTTTTATATAGACACAAGTGTGTGTGTATTGTTCAGATCGTGCGTCCTAGTTGTTCCAATATAATAATGTACCCCAACTGCTCTGATAGCATATCTTAGCAGTCTCAAATTTGTACTGTACTATTTGTTTGACATAAGCCTGGACTTGTCATTTGTCATCACTTTTGATGTCTCCGTTGCTCATCTTGGATTCCGACGTTTTGTCACCTTCGTCGTCTTGTCCTCTGCCTTTCTTTGCCTCGTCTTCCTCTCTGGCCTTCTTTGCTGCCTCGGCCGCCGCCTCTGCCTCTGCTTCTTCCTTCGCCTTGGCCGCCTCCTCCTTTGCCTGCTTCAGAGCCTCCACAAGACTCTCCAAGCACGCGTTGGCGTCCCTCTTCTTCTTCTTGGACATGGGCATCAGGTTCTCGGCCACATCTGCCGGTGACATGTCAGTCTCCTCAAGAAGCTGCCCTATCTGCCCGAACAGCTCGTGCTCCTCGACGTCGAGGTAGTTCTTGGCGAGCACCTTGAACGCCCGGAAGCGGCAGTAGGACATCTCGATGTGCCTGTCCATCCTGCCTCTCCGGATGAGCGCCGGGTCCAGCTTGTCCTTGTGGTTGGTGGTGAAGATGATGATGCGCTCGCCGCCGCACGCCGACCACAGGCCGTCGATGAAGTTGAGCAGCCCCGAAAGGGTGACCTTGCTGCCTTCGTCCTTGTCGGGCTCCATCGGCAGCTTGGGCTTGTCGTCACCGTCTGCTGCCTTGTCGGACTTGGCCTTTTTGTCCTTGCGCTTTCCGGTGAGGTCAACGGAGCAGTCGATGTCCTCGATGACGATGATGGACTTGCCGGTCGTCTCGATGAAGAGCTTCCGCAGGTCGGTGTTGTTGTTGACCGCCGTGAGCTCGAGGTCGTAGACGTCGTAGTCGAGGAAGTTAGCCATGGCGGCGATCATGGTGGACTTGCCGGTGCCCGGGGGTCCATAGAGCAGGTACCCTCGCTTCCACGCCTTGCCGACCTTGGTGTAGTAGTCCTTAGCCTCCCGGAACGCCTCGAGGTCATCGAGGATCTCCTCCTTGTCGTCGGGATCCATGGAGAGCGTGTCGAACGTGGCCGGGTGCTCGAACGCGACGTGGCTCCAGACGTCGCTGTTAGGTTTGGTTCGTTACAGATCGGGATGTCTTGTATAGAAATAGAATAGGTGTTCGGGATTTACATGAGAGGCAGAGAGAAGGGGAGTGAGATGTAGCAAACCATCGAAAGCCGTAGTGGTCGAAGCTCCGGCCGGGGTCTCGTTGACGGACGCCATCTGCGCGCCGGCAGCGACGTTCGGTGGAGAGGGAGGAGTCGGCGCTGTGGCGTCCTCGGCGGCGGCGTGTGCGTCAAGGCGTCGAGGTGGCGTTGCCGGCGTCGGTGGTGCTTCCCGTCGCTGGCAGCGCCCCTTCTCAAGATTGGGTTTTAGGGTTAGGATGTCGGTGGGGTGACTGGCGGCGCGGTGAACCTCGTACTGCGAGCCCCGGCCCCCACCTTTCCTTTATAGCGCCAGTCTTGACGAGGGGCCCACCAACCATGTAGGGTTGGGCGCCCCGATCGTATGCGAGACAAAGGCCCGATTAGGCCGTTGGGCCTAAAGCGGTGGGAGATCAATCCTAACATTCTCCCCTTGATCTCTCATCTATTCTTCGTTCTTTAATTTCATATTCAAAACTTTCAATTCATATTTTCTTGCTTCCATCCTATTTCATCACAGATTAGTGCATAGAACTGTCCCATCGTCCACGACAATTAGTGCCGTTAGACTAACACCACAATACACTTCTCCGTTTTGAAATGTAAACTTTCTTTGGGCCCTTCAGATATGTTAGGGAATCATAGGCTTTCCCTTAAACCCATGCCACTCGTGTTCTCTGAACACGTTGGGTGATAAGCCCTTTGTGAGCGGATCCGCGAGCATTTTCTCTGTACTTATATGCTCAAGATTTATTATATGATCCCGAAGTTTATCTTTCACAACATAGTACTTTATGTCAATGTGTTTGGCAGCACCACTTGACCTATTGTTGTAGCATATTGTACCGCTGGGTTGTTATCACAATACAACCTCGGTGGTTCTTTTATATTATCAATCACTTTCAATCCGGGTATGAATTTCTTCACCAATTCACCCCCTTGTTGCCTCATAGCATGCTACAAACTCGGCATACATTGTCGAGGATGTAGTTACTGATTTGTTTGGAGCTTTTCCACGATATAGCCCCTCCTGCGAGAGTAAATACATATCCCGGCGTGGATTTTCTTTCATCTCCCGCATAATCGAAATCTGAATACCCCTCTATCTGCGGGTATCGGATCTTCTATCATGTAAGCATGAGGCCTTTCGTACCTGCGCAAATAACGCAGGACTTTCTTCACTAATTTCCAATGTTCAATTCATGGATTCTTTTGATATCTGCCAAGTAACCCGGTAACAAAAGCTAAGTCGTAGGCGTGTACACACTTGAGCATATTGTAAACTTCCAACAAATTTGAAGCATACGGTACCGCTTTCATTCGGTCAATTTCATATTGGTTCTTGGGACACCGATGTTCCCCAAATCTATCGCCCTTGACTATAGGAGCGGTGAAGGACTGCACGCATGCATACTAAATTTCTTGGGACCTTTTCTATGTATGCCTTTTGCGATAATCCTAGAACCCTTTTTCTCCTGTCTCTCGGTGAATCTCTATTCCCAAAACGAACGAGGCCTCACCGAGATCTTTCATATCAAAGTTTGAGGACAAGAATTTCTTTGTTTCCATTAGTAGATTGATATCACTGCTAGCAAGCAAGATATCATCCACATACAAAATTAGGAATATGTACTTTCCATTCCTGAACTTTGTATAAACGCAATTGTCCTCAACATTTTCTTCAAACCCAAAACCTTTTATCGTTCTATCAAACTTCAAATACCACTGTCTTGAAGCTTGCTTCAATCCGTAGATTGATTTCTTCAGGCGGCATCCCATATTTTCCTTTTCTTTTACGACAAAACCTTTCGGTTGTGCCATATAAACATTTTCTTCCAAATCCCCATTTAGAAAAGCCGTCTTTACATCCATTTGATGCAACTCCAAATCATAGTGGGCTACAAGTGCCATTATAATTCTGAATGAATCTTTACATGAGACTGGAGAAAACGTCTCATTGTAATCAATCTCTTCTCTTTGCGTGAAGCCTTTCGCCACAAGTCGCGCTTTAAATCTCCTGTAGGCTGATTTCTCGTGCTACCATGCTCCCCCTGATCATGTTGTCCTCCAAGAACACAGCGTGTCTTGTTTCTATAATCTTCGTATGTCTGTCAGGACAATAGAAGCGATATCCCTTCGATCTTTCTGGATAGCCAATAAAATGGCAGCTGACTGTCTTGGAGTCTAACTTTCCTATGTTTGGGTTAAACACTTTTGCCTCAGCTGGACAGCCCCACACACGCAAATGATTAAGTGAGGGTTCCCTTCCTGTCCATAATTCATACGGTGTTTTAGGCACCGATTTACTTGGTACTCGATTAAGTATGTGAATGGCGGTTTTCAGTGCCTCCATCCATAAACTAATCGGTAATGTGGAGTAACTCATCATGCTTCTTACCATATCCATTAAGGTACGGTTACGTCTTTCAGCCACTCCATTCTGCTGAGGCTCCCCGGTGTGGAGTACTGAGCAACTATGCCATTTTCCTGTAGGAACCTTGCGAATGGTCCTGGAATTTGGCCATATGGGGTATGTCGCCCATAGTACTCTCCACCTCGGTCTGATCGTACTATCTTGATTTTCTTATTGTGCTGATTTTCAACTTCAGCTTTAAATATTTTAAATTTATCCAATGCTTCCGATCTTTCTTTAATTGGATAAATATTGCCATAACGAGAGTAGTCGTCTGTGAATGTTATAAACGAGTCATAACCATCCACACTTTTCACAGAAAAAGGACCACATATATCTGTGTGGATTATTTCTAAAATTCCTGTGCTTCGTTTGGCATCTTTCTTAATTTTCTTGACATACTTTCCTTTGATGCAATCAATACATTGCTCTAAATCTGAAAATTCTAAGTGCGGAGAATTGATTCCTTAACCAATCGTTCCATTCTTCCCCTCGAAATATGGCCCAAGCGACAATGCCATAATTTCAAGAGACAGATATCAATTCTCTTTCGCTTCTTAGTTACATCCCGTAGATGGGGAATCATTCACATTCTCATCACATACATTGTTCGCATTCTCAAAGAAGAGATAATAAATAAAGCTTGTCTTGTCGGAAGGCAAGACCAACACATTTATTATTAACGGTATCTTACACTTGCCATCACCAAAATGGCAATCAATTTCATCATCATCAAGTTTCAAACACTTATCAAATTTCTACGCAAAAGAGGGAACATAAAGTACTTCTTTAAGTCTAAGTACAAAACCATTATTCAATTCTAAAGAAAAATCTCCAATGGCTTCAACATTGGCTTGCGATCCATTTGCAACTTTAATCGTTCTTTTTCCTCTTTGCAAGGTTCTCATCCCACTTAACCCCTGTAAAGAATTTACAACATGAGTAGTTGCTCCTGAATCAACCCACCAAGTGGATTTATCATAACATAAATACAGAGATTCATCTACAAATGTAATAAATTCATCACCTTTCTTTAGCGAGAGATTTCGTGAAGTCTGGACAATCCCTCTTGTAGTGTCCTTTCTTGAAGCAAAGGCTTGCACCGATCTTTTTCTGCTCCACCATACTGCCGATTCTCGAGAATCCTCGGGGTTTCTTTTCCCGTGAACTGGAGGAAGAGGTCTTATCCCACTTAGGTTTCCCTTGTGGTTTAGAATTCTTGCCATTAAAGTTCTTTCTTTTGTTGTCCTTCACAAATGAGCAGATTCACCTTGTGAGGACTTTATCCTCTCCTCTTCTTGAGCACACATTGAGATGAGTCTTTCTATGCCCCATCTTTCAGTTGCATATTATAGTTCACAATGAAGGTGTCATATTCTTTTGGCAAAGAAGCAAAATCAAATGAATCAGAAATCCTCCTCCTTCAAATTCATTTCTTTTAGCTTGGATGCCGTAGTGTTCATCTTCAAAATGTGCTCTCTTATGCTACCACCAAAGTGAATTTCTCATTCACAAGCTTCTTAATCGATGAACTTGTTTGTGGCCTTGGTAGACCCGATGAACCCGACTCTTGATTTTCTCAAGATATTCTTTGGCGATAGCACATTCTGGGGATTGAGCCCTTATCTGTTCTTCTATGGTGGCTTTGGCTACCAACAGGCACTTGCGGTTGGAGAGAGTCTATTGCCTATGTTCAAGGTCATATTTCATTCTTATTTCAGCATGATCACGCTTTCGAGCAGCGAAATCAGCGTCAGTTTCATTGTCACCTCTCACCGGGTCCTCTGGCTCAGTAGGACACGGTGAGGTGATGGCAAAATCGACCTCTCCCAACGCAAGTTCCAATTCATACTTCTCCCGCCACACACGGTGATTGGTTCCGTTGAGTGTCGGGATGTTGGCAATATTCACAATGCATTTGCCTCCTGAAATCACACCAAAGTAAGTAAGAAACATTTATACATAAAATTCCATGCTTTAACTCAACGTTGGTCAAATTAAAACTTATTATTCATCCATGCAAACATTTTACATCACCGTTGGGCAGAAGTAAAATTAATGCACAATTTCTCATGGATCAAAAATTATAATATTGTTATTAACAACGTTGGTCAGAAAATAACAATATCATAATCGCATCAAAATTATCAGAAATTCATTTCTCTTAAAATTAAATTATCCCGTTGGTTCAAATTTAATCAAAAGGATAATAATTATCATGCACAGCGGAAACATTAATAATCTTTTCATGTTATTATTTTCCAGAAGCACTAAAAAAAATTCATTGTTTTCTGGGCAAAATATCGTTGGATAAAATTTGCACAGAAAATTGTGTCAAAATCATTCAAATTCATCAAAATATGCATTTAAAATTGTTTATGGAAAATAATAAGAAAAATTTTCTTGTTCTTCTTTTCATTTTCAGCCAATTAGCGCCCCAAGATCTGCGCTGAACAAAACTCGGCCCGGCTTGCCTCGGCGCCTGAGCCGCACCCAGGCCGCAACTGGGCTCTGGGCGGCCAAGCGCCCAGCCTTCGCTCCTTTGGGCCTCGACTTGGCCCAGCGCATCTCGAGCGTCCGTCTTGATCCGACGGCCGAGCGTCCGTTTCGCGCGGTCAAAACCACCGCCGCGGCCGGTGCCCTGGAAAACCCTAGCGCATTCGCCCCTGCTCTCTCTCTCTCTTCTTCGCCGCACTCTCTCTTCTCTCTTCAAGCCTAGCGGCCAAGAAACCGAGAGCGAAGCGACGGCGACGGCGAAGGGCCTTTAACGCCGTCGCTTGCCTCGCCTGGCGCGTGCTCCCAACGGTGAGCACGCCGCCGTCAGCGACCCTGCCATGGCGCTTCCTTGGCCGAGCCCGCGCGAGCCTGCCCCGGCTCGGCTTCTTCTCTCTTGGCAAGGCGAAAAAAAAAACGGTTCGGCTTTTCTTCTTCTTCCGCGGCGTGGAGGTTCATCCGACGAACCCTAGCCCTACCCCTTCTTTCCCCTTTCTTTCTTTGAGTTGTTCTTTTCAGGTTTGTCCGAATGGGGAAAACTAGGGTTAGGGTTAGGGTTGGTTCTAGCCGATTTGTTTTCTTTGCCTTTTATTTCTTTCTTTTCGTTCATCCGAATGGAAAAATTTGGGATTAGGGTTAGGGTTCGACCCTTCTTCTTTCTTCTTCCCCTTTTCCCCTCTTTCGGATTTGCGTCTAGGGTTCTTGGAATCCGACCCTCCCTTTTCCCCTTCTTCAATCCCTTGTTCAGTTTTGATTTTGGGAATTAGGGTTAGGTCTTAGGGCTCGGTTTTCTACTTTCTTTCCCGACCCGCATCTGATTTCTTGACAAACATGGCTCTGGTACCATTGTTAGGTTTGGTTCGTTACAGATCGGGATGTCTTGTATAGAAATAGAATAGGTGTTCGGGATTTACATGAGAGGCAGAGAGAAGGGGAGTGAGATGTAGCAAACCATCGAAAGCCGTAGTGGTCGAAGCTCCGGCCGGGGTCTCGTTGACGGACGCCATCTGCGCGCCGGCAGCGACGTTCGGTGGAGAGGGAGGAGTCGGCGCTGTGGCGTCCTCGGCGGCGGCGTGTGCGTCGAGGCGTCGAGGTGGCGTTGCCGGCGTCGGTGGTGCTTCCCGTCGCTGGCAGCGCCCCTTCTCAAGATCGGGTTTTAGGGTTAGGATGTCGGTGGGGTGACTGGCGGCGCGGTGAACCTCGTACTGCGAGCCCCGGCCCCCACCTTTCCTTTATAGCGCTGTGCGACGGGGGCCCACCAACCATGTAGGGTTGGGCGCCCCCGATCAGGGCGCGAGGACAAGGCCCAGTTAGGCCGTTGGGCCTAACTGGTGGGAGATCAATCCTAACAGTCGCCCCTCCCACGGCCACCGCCGCTGGGATTGTTGGTGAAGAGGCGGCGCTGGCGGTTGCGGACGGTGACGGCGCGGCCTTCCTGGAGGACGTGGGGCAGGTACTTGCCGACGACGAGGTCGCGGTGGCGCCGGTGGAAGATGACCAGGTAGGTGCGCGGGTCGTCCTGGTTGGCGTAGAGGCTGATGACGTTGGACCTGGGCACCTTCTTGGCGACGTACCACCAGACCGTGGCGCCCTGGTAGGCGTCGGTGACCTCGTCGTTGTCGCCGACGGACACCTGGAGGTTGCTGCTGTCCCTGCCGAGCTCGGCCTTGAGCTTGCGGGCGCGCGGCGCGCAGGCGTCGGAGAGGTAAGCCTCGGCGGCGAGGAAGAAGTCGCTGCGGTGGAAGCGCTCGGCGCCGTACTCGGAGATGGTGATCTCCAGGTAGGGGTTGAAGTAGGAGGCGAGCTTGTTGGCCCAGGTGGCGACGCGGTGGCTGAGGGTGACGGGGACGTGTCTCTGCACCATGGACCACAGGAAGAGGAAGCTCGCGAGCGCGGAACCTAGGCCCGTCCACTTGTCCACCACCGCCATGGCTGTCGTGTGTGTTGTTGCCTAGCTCTAGCAAGCAGGCTTTTCTTGGTACAGGCACAGAGGCACTTGCTTGTTAACTACTCACTTTGAACTCATAGTAAGCACATGGTACATTGTTTGATCTCAAGTGCCGATCGATGTCAGTTTATATAGACGACCATAGCCGCCATGGCTCATCATGGGAAATGAATGCAGCTAGCTCAGCTACTTGACTTGGAGTCAACTGCTGCATGCCTGGTTGCCGTTCGTTGTCTCCTGTCTCTGTCTGTTTCCTAGTGGATCGGAAGGAAGTAGCAAGGAGCAAAGGTATGTATGCTAGCAGTAGCAAAGGTAGAATTTGCTTTGAAAACAATGAAACCCGGCCGCCCATAATATGCGTCATCATCTAGACATCAGCTACTATGTACTAAAGTAATATATATTTACGTGCACAGTCACACACAAAATGATTGGTGGGGCAGATGCTAATGGACGCACGAAACTTGATGTAATTGGCTTGCAGACGAATTGCCATGACTTGATCGGATGCATATGCGTGCACTGCAAGCTAGTAGTCATGTTATGTTGACACTTGACAGTCGGCGATTGAGACGATCCGTCCAGAACATATGCACAGTCTGGCCAGTTCAGGAGATCATCAAATACAAATACTAGTCGTCTCGTGCGTGTGCACATATACATACGTTTTCTCAAGTTTATTTATTGATCTAGCCTAGTAATAATAATGATATTATATATAAATATGCGCCATGACGACGCCTAGCAGAGACACGTACAAAGCGTCGCAGAGCATTCAGCTTCTTAAGGTCAGAAGATACCGTGCTGCCTCCGCCATGGCATGCATGCATGCATGCATGCACGAGAGAGTCAAACTGGCAGCATGGGTCATGCCTCGTTCCACGAAGTGAAAATTTGCATCAGTCTTGCTATGCTGCAGCGTGAAGCATGACACACCTATTTGGCACTTGGCTGCCCATCAATCTTACGGTTACAAATTGAAAACTCTACTTCGGTTCTCACAAGATGCACTATAGAAAGATAAATGGCCTGTTCGTTGGTTGATTTATATATAAAAATGTGATAAGAGATTTCTAAAATAAGTTGCTAACATGTAATACTAAACTTGCTACTCTGAAAATAAAATAAAGTTTTTACATGGTATGCAAATCGATTGTTACCATAGGATTATAATAAATTTGTTATATAATATTTATATAAAGATACTAACTCCTAAAGAGAGTAGTGGACCAAAACAAGACAAAACCACAACCTGGAGGGGCAAATTATTAAAATAAACATTGCATAAGCTGCTGATTAGGAGGCAAGTTATTACACAACACATTACAAAAAGCTAGGAAATTAACATGACTTGCTGCCACTAAGAGCATTTATTAAAAAAATAAGGATAGCGGCACAAAACAAGACAAGCTGTAACCGTGGGGCACATTACTAAAAACAAGCATTGCATAAGCTGCCAACTAGAGGAGCAAGTTATTATATAACCCATTATATGAGTCGGGGAACATGACGAGCTGACAAATGGAGGGACATTTATTAAAAGACAAGAGTAGTGGCCTAAAATAAGTCAAGCTGTACCTTGAGAGACAAATTATTATAAGAAGCATTACATAAGGCGTTAACTTAGAGGGTAAGTTATGATACAACTAATATGTAGGATTCAATAATGCATTCAAATCTGGAAGGGAAAATGAAATAATGAAACTCAAAACTCATTAAACTGAAACTAAAATAAACATTGAAAAAAGAAAATATTTAAAAGAAGGAAATATTGAAGAACAGTTAACATGCAGGATTGAAATTGGCATTCAAACCTGAACAGAAAATTGAACCACTGAAAATAGCTACCAGACACTAAAACTGAAAATGACAAATAGGAAATGAAAACTAAAGTAGACACAACGAAAAACATAAAAAAGGACTTGTTTCCAACTACTAGGCGGTTATTACAAAATCCAGCAAACATGACTCGCTGCAAAATGAAACTGAAATTAACAAAAAAAAAGAACTAAAATTGACAAACAAAAAATAGAACTAAAATTGAAAATGAAAATAAAAACTAAAGAAGACAGGATAAAAAAAACTAAAACTAAAAGTACAATAAACTAGAATTGAAAGTGACAACAAATAATGAAACTGAAATTGACAAATAAGTTGCTACACGCTTAATACATAAGTTACTACACGTTTGCTAGTATATATAATTTGTTGAAAGGTTAATATATAGGTTCCTACACGCTTAATACGTAAATAGCTATTACATATATAACATAAGTTGCCAGTACATACAAACAATTTTGAAACACATGCATCATAGTCTTATTTCATAGATCTCATCACAAGTGGCTAAATAGTACAAATCAGTGAAAAAACTGAAACTGAAATTACCAGTGACTAAAAAAGAAATTAACATCCAAAAAACAAAACAAATAATTGAGAAAAAATAAAATAAGTTATTATACAACTAATATGTAGGATTTAGGAATGCATTCAAACTTAAAAGGGTGACTGAGAACCGAAACTAAAAAAATATTAAAAAAATATGACTGAAAACTGAAACTAATAAACTGAAAAAAAAAACTTGACTAAAACTGAAACTGGGAGGCAAATTCTTTTGTGGTAACTTATGTGTTCAATAGCTACCCTTTTGTAACAACTTGTGTATTGTAGGTGAAGCAACTAATATGCAGGAGACCTCAAAGGGTGACTGAAATCTGAAACTAAAAAAAGCATGACTAAAAAACAAAAAGACTGCAAAATAGCACTGAAAGTAAAATTACCAGGAAAATAATTGAAATTGACAAACAAACAAAATGAATTTGACAAATATAAAATGACTGAAAATGACAACATAGCTAAAAAAATAAAACTGAAAATTGACAACTAGAAAATTTAAATGAAATTTATATGTAGCAACTTATCATGAAAAACAAATAATTGAAACTGAAAATAACAACCAGAAAATTGAACTGAAATCGACAATTTTAGTTTCCGAAGCACTTGACTCGAGCTACAGCATCGTAGTAATTATGATGGAACACTGATGGTTATCTGGATTGTATGGGATATGCTAAATCTAAGTTGGTAACTGGATGTTGTTGGTTAATCAAGTGATTGCTATAGTATAGGTGCTTACCTAGATGGATAGGTCATAATAAAGATGATGCAAAGTACTTAAAATGGTTTCTTCATGATAGCTTATGCTTTTCGCAAACAAGTCAGCTAGCCCACTAAAGAAAGCCTTGCATAATCCTTGGTGTCATTTGTTGTGGTTTCCAACGGGTAAGTCTAGCTGAGTACATTCAAGTACTCATGGTTTATCCCACCATGTTGCAGGTGAAGTTCTTGGCCTGCGGAAGATGGTGGCTAACCACCGGTGGGCTCGGTGACTCTATATTTACTTCTCACCTATATACTTTTATCAGAGGATGTCACTTATGCTAGCAATGTATTTGAAACTTATATTAATGTAATCATTTGAAAGCTAGGTTGTTTTCTCTAATCGGTTTTAAAACCCAAACTTGTACTATTATTTGTGAACCCAATTGTAATATTATCTCCGCTGTAACTCTGCGTATGTGATGTGTATTTGCTTAATCACGTGATCTTGGTTGTGATGTTGATTTACCGAGGTCTTTCGTGACACTCGGCGGACTACAGGGTTTGTATAAGTGAAAGTATGCGCGTGTCAACATGTTAGCGGGGACAGTCATACTTGATCTTGTATAAATTGGACGGTTCTGTCACAGCTGCTGCTCGTGTTACTAGCACTAAGAGTTCGTAGTAGGAGTTACAAACGATCAAGAAAGGTACAGGTCCCATGTCTCTGGTGAGTGGAGCGAATGGGTGCCGAGAGCTCAGTCGCTTCTCGGCTGTGTGCTTGTGTGTTCTGATTGGTTCGGGGTTTGATGGGTTTCAGTCCCTCTCATAGGACGCCCTGCTTTCCCTTTTATAGGCCAAGGGAAAGCACGGGTTATAGTGGAGGGAAAAGAGGAGAATGAGAAGGAGAAGAAGTCCTCCAGGATCGCCGGGTCCTTCTTTTCCTTCACGCGGGTGAAAGGTCCTAATGGCTTGAGGGGGGTGAATAGCCTATTAAAAATTTCTACAACAACACTTAATAAACCGGTTAGACAATTATGAGGCAAAGCAAGTGTTGCGCTAGCCTACTAAAAATACAAACCACCTACCACAATTCTAGTTTATATAGCTTCTATCCACACAATAGCTATGGTACTACACTAAGTTAGTGTGCTCTCAAAGATTAACTAAAGAGCCACACTAACCAAACTAACAAGCTCTCACAACTAGCTACACTAAAGAGCTTGATAACTAGTTTGCGGTAATGTAAAGACAGAGAGCAAGATAGTTATACCGTCGTGTCGAGGAGTGAACCAATCAATCACAATAATCAATATCAATGAAGATCAATCACCTCGGAATCAAATGATGAACACAATAATTTTTTTTTGAGGTTCACTTGCTTGCCGGCAAGCTACTCCTTGTTGTGGTGATTCACTCACTTGGAGGTTCACGCGCTAATTGGCATCACACGCCAAACTCTCAATAGGGTGCCGCACAACCAACACAAGATGAGGATCACACAAGCCACGAGCAATCCACTAGAGTACCTTTTGGCTCTCCGCCGGGGAAAGGTCAAGAACCCCTCACAATCACCACGATCAGAGCCAGAGACAATCATCACTCTCCGCTTGACGATCCTCACTGCTCCAAGCCATCTAGGTGGCGGCAACCACCAAGAGTAACAAGCGAATCCGACAGCGAAACACGAACACCAAGTGCCTCTAGATGCAAACACTCAAGCAATGCACTTGGATTCTCTCCCAAACTCACAAAGATGATGAATCAATGATGGAGATGAGTGGGAGGGCTTTGGCTAAGCTCACAAGGTTGCTATGTCAATGCAAATGGCCAAGAGAGTGAGCTTGAGCTGGCCATGGGGCTTAAATAGAAGCCCCCATGAA